AGGCAAGATGTGATCTTGATCTTACACCGAATCAAACTAAGCGTTCGATAGGTGCGTCCACCCTCCCGCCACAGCTGGCGGGCAAACAGCCAAAACGACCGCGGTGAACAAGAGAGTGCAAGCGTGAGCGAGCGAGAGCAGCAGCAGATATAATTATAATTATCATCATATATCTCACATCCCTGCCAATGCAACTTTCACACTTCGACTCCTTGATTATCGAGCTCATTGGTTTATCGATTGGAGGTGTTATCTCTGCTGCCACGGTGCCTGCGGTTCCTGGTGATGAAGAGGCGAGGTTCTTCGAAGGAAACATCGGTGTGCCAGGTTGTTCTTTGGAATATCGCAAACCGAGTTTCTTCGTGCTGTGTTTTGGCTTGGCTACGTCGATGATATCATTGGCTTCTCGAACCATCTTTGCGTGAGCTGTGTAAGGTGCTTATTCACTTCTGTGTATTCCAATGCCCTTGTCGTTCGCGTTTGAGAGTGGTGGGTCTGATGGACCCCGTACATGTGAATGGGTCGACCTACAGGTGCATGTGTTTCGGTATAACATCGGTTGGATGATGAAGAACCCGAATCGTGACTGGATTTTCGGCCGCGGTCCCAAACTGAAGGGTAACTTGCTCCCGTGGTTGGACCAGTCGCCCACACCCTTTTCGAGGCTCAGAGGGCAGCTGTTGGGCATGATCTCTAGGTCCTTCTCGTTCGAGTTGGCTCGTGGGCAGCAGCTTGTTGTCATAATGGAGCTCCTGTTGGTATTGTTAAGATTGCAGTACCCCATCTTGTATGTAAGGTCATTGGTTCATTATGTTCCTCCATTTCCTGCAGTTGTTCTGGCTTGAAAGTCTGTGCGGCTTCTGGCCTACCATCGCCCCGATCTTCAGCATTCTCAATAGGCTATGGGAAGGTCCAACGGTGGTCGTGGCCAGCAGCAATCCCGAGGACATGCTCAGTGGCCGCCGACGTGGAAACCGAAGCAGCAACAAGATCGTAATCGCGATCGCGACCGTGACAGAGACAGCCGCAAGAAGAAGCATCGTTCCAGCAGTTCGAGCAGCTCGGACACAGAGACGCGCGTGGCTGTCGCCGAAAACTTCCTTATCAAACACAGCAAGTGCTACAGCAAGCTCGTGAAGTCGGAGGAGGAGAGCGCCCGCCTCAAGGAGTAGGTACGAGAGGCAGGGCAAGATCATCGCCGATGCGATCGTGCCGCAGCTTCCGGCCGCCATCGCGACCCATGCGGTTCCAGCGGGTGCTCTTCCTGCTAAGCCTCCTGGTGCTGGTGGCGCACAACCCGTAGGCGCTGCCGCGCTGCCGGCGCCTGCCTTCCCACCCGCACGGCGCCTGCCTTCCCGAGCGTCGGGCAGGTGATGCCTCAGCGGGCGGAGGCCGCGCAAACAACGCTCTCAGCACCCCAGCGGGCGTACATCGTCGCCGAGTGTGGCAACATCTTCCAACTGGAGAACGGGGCATTCGACGAGCTTAAGAAGGTGCTCAACAAGAAGTTGCTCAATGTAAAGCATCAGGGGATGGCAGCCCCCAGGCCGAAAGACAAGCTCATCGAGGTGCTCTTCGAGGTTGTGGCGAAGATGGCCTAAAAGCTGTTTGCCCCGGTGGTGTATATCTACCGCGTGATTGTCTTCACTGTGAAGCTGTTCTACTTGCTTGTGTTCATTGGCGTTGTCTTTTATCTCGGGTATTGCTATGGGCACTGGGTAGCAAAGTGGGAGCTGTACGTGACAGTGCGCGACTTCGCTTTCTAGAGTGTGGGGTCCATGTTGGTGTCATATTTCACTGGTGGGTCAATGCCGATAAGAGCCGCGGGCATGGCAGCAATCAGTAGTGCCGATTCTGTCTTCAGCAGTGGTGGAGATCAATAGATTTGGGGCCGCATTTTGCAGGCCATCGATGGCAGGTAGCAAGCAGCTGGGCATTCGGGCGCTCGTGATTCTCAAAGACCTCTGCCAGAAGAATGCTGCCCTCGTCTCTGTTGCAGCTCCCTGAAGGGCCATCATCTCTGTAGCTCCCTCGGCTCGGCAGCTTATGCGGGCACAGACGCTCAACCGTACCAGGCTGGGTCTCACGCGATCCAGAAATTTCACTGATGGAGTCTGGCGGAGTTCGGCAGTGAACAAGCGACCTCAAATCATCATCATCACCATCATCAGCATCATCATCAGCATCATCATCGGCATCATCATCAGCATCATCATCAGCATCATCATAAGCATCATCATAAGCAGCAGCATCATCAGCTTCAGCATCATCACCATCAGCATCATCATCATCAGCAGAAGCATCATCATCATGACTAGCATCATCGTCAGCATCAGCATGAGCATCCTTATCAACATCACCATCAAAATGATCCAGACCCTCGTCTTCAGTCTCATCCTCCTCCTCGTCTTCATCATGATCATCAGCATCAGCGTCAGCACCGTCGTCGTCATCGTCGTCATCATCAGCATCAGCATCAACATCATCACCATAATCAGCATCATCATCATCAGCATCACCATCACCATCATCATCATCAGCATCATCATCAGCATCATCATCATCATAATTAGCATCGTCATCATCATCGATATTAGCATCAGCACCATCATCAGCATCGTGATCATCATGATCATCATCAACATCAGTATCATCATCACCAGCATCAGCATCGTGAGCATCAGCATCATCATCCATAGCCTCATCATCATCAACATCATCCTGCTCCCGCTCGTCGTCCTTCTCCGCCGCATCCTTCCCCCATCTTTCTCCTCCTGTCTTTCTCCTCCTCTTCCTCCCCACCCTCCTCCCTCGTCCTCCGACATTAACACTTACGCATGTTGAACACTTCTCTCCTCTCTCCCCTGATACGGTCTTTAATGCCCCCCGGCATTCCTGCATTGCTATCACGTTCTCACCGACGTACGCACAGAAGGAGAGAACGAGAAAGAGAGAGAGAGAGAGATAGAAAAAAAAGAGAGAGAGAGAGAGAGAGAGAAAATACACACCCGCACACACACACACACAAACATTCAGAAGCACACGCACACATTAATGACATCATGTGATGTTCGATCGATATTGCTCGTTGTACAGTAAGAACTTGTCCAGCCCGTCCGAAACTGTGGCATGGCCGCAACGTTGGCCACATTCTTGCATCAGCAAACGTAGCGTTCCCGCTAAAGCGTTTTCAACGCTCCAGGAGTTCCATTGAGCTTCCGTCCAATGGAACGACGCCCTCGACCCAGCGCTGGCCGTGCAGTCGTGCATAAGCAAAAATGCACCTGTAGTGTAGCGATTGACAGATGCGTGAATTTCCTTGGAGTCACCGTCTGACGGAAAGGGAGTGTTGCCACCGCGCTGGCCGTAGTCAAGACGCTGAAAAAAAGTAACTGCTCGGGTTCGGAATGGGTTCGCTGCTGCGTAGGTCCTTACACCCTTGTTAGTATAGTGAGCCTCGTGTACACAAATGATTGGGGGCCCAAGAAGAACGTCGTTCTCCAATCAGACTTCTTTGCGGTAGTAACTCTACTCCTAGCTCATCAGCGAAGTGATGTTCCCGTTTTAGCGTGTGCCACATGTCGGGGTAGGGATCGACGTCTTATTCACCGAACTCCATAGAAAGGGATAGGACGGAGGTGCATGACATGATGTCAGATGTGGCGCGAGCGAACCAAGATTGTCCTCCCTCATCCCCCCTCCCCCGATTTCTTTTCGGGGCAATCCCCCATGTGCGTAAGCAGTAACCGTGTGGACACACTGCTCATGGTCCTAAAGGTCCTAAAAGGTCTCCCTCCCCCAGCCCCCCGATGCCTTCCTTCAAGCACACGCCAACATGTATTAGGGGTCCGTGGATCTGGCGCGTGAGCGTCAGGTCCACGGATCGGGGTAAGTACATCTGAAGGGGCCCCAAGACACACAAATAAATACACACAAATACAAATATTCCCAATATTGTCCCATAGTTTCTGGGTTTCTGTCTTCCCCCCCACTTCCCATATTTTCCCATATGTTCATGGGAATCGACGATTAATTGTGTCTGTGTTTTTTCCCCTCCAGAGTAGGTACATCCCGAATCATGCAGCCCGTGCCGCCGGAATCGGCGATGAAAGGCGGGGATTCTGGACGGAAGCGAGACCCGCTGCTATTCCACGCGCCCTCATCCATGCTTGCGCTTCCATGACTCCTCCCCTTCCTCCCTCCGAAGGGGGAGCATTAGGGGGGACTGCTCGGGGGGGGGGGGAACATCGACCTGGAATCGGCGGTACATCGCCGATAGATCGGCGATATGCCCCCGATGGCGAATCCGCGCGTTCCTGGAAGACGTGGGCTATCAGGCCCCTATCAGCGATGAGTGTGCGATTGAGGGTGGATCGTTCCCACCTGAGCCTGTCCCCCCATTTGGCGGTCGGTGGCAAATCACGGGAGCCTCCCATGCCATCTTGCTGGCCCTTGCGAATCGACGCAAACCGACGCGTATCGACGCTAATCGATGCTACATCGACGCTAATAGACGCTAAGCCGGCGTTTCACCATCGATTACCAAACGCTAGCGGACGCTGATACATTCTAAAAACGGAAGTGCGGGGACACACATGACTCCCATGGTCTGCTACCGAATAACCCAAACTCGGCGGCGCCCGTTCCTCTGAAACATGCTTACGAGCTTCCCCGAACACGCGGAAAACTCCTCCGAAGGCCAGGAAGGGGGTCCGAAAAGCCCCGCCGCCTTCTGAGAGGGCGTGCCCCTTCTCACTTCCCCCCCTCGCTCGCCGCAGGCGAACCAAGGGCTCCCAACTTCGCGCTTCGCGCTGCGCGAAGCGCGAAGTGCGAATAACTTCGCGCTCTCGCGCAACCCCCCCCAAAGGGAGAATAGGAGGACGAGGAGGAGGGGGAGAAGGAACGAGGACCGCGAAGCGCGAAGCGCGAATATCTTCGCGCCCTCGAGGGAGCCCTTGCTCGCCGCAGGCGAACGTTGCCCCCGATCCTCCCCCCCCGTCCTGCAGGTATGCGGCCCGCTGCGCCTGTGACAGCCGCCTCCACCCCGCCGCGGCGCTCGCGGCCGCCTGTGCCACGGGAGCACGGGCCGAGGGCGGGGGCGCAGCCCGTGGGGGCGGCGGGGAGGGGGAGGGGGAGGAGGAGGAGGAGGAGGAGGAGGGAGGAGGAGGGGGAGGAGGAGGAGGAGGGAGGAGGAGGAGGAGGAGCAGGAGGAGGAGGAGGAGGAGGAGGGGGAGGAGGGGGAGAAGGAGGAGGAGGAGGGAGAAGGAGGAAGAGGAGGAGGAGGGCCGGGAGAAGGGAGGGGGATGGGACGCAGAGGGAAGTGCTAGTACTGCGCGTCCTCCTTGCAGGTACGCGTCCGACAATAGCATCCAACATAACAACAGCGCAGCACGTCGCCACTGCAGCGGTATGGCCAGAAAGCGCCCGCCACCGAGTCCCACCAGCCTTTGAGAGCGTGGGTGATTTAGGCGGGGTCCTCTTCCAACCCCCATTTTTCACCTTCGTGGGTGATGTATCATTGTTCCCAATGAATAATCACCCCTTCCAACAAGCGACCAGCAGCCAACCAAGACCAACGACAACCCCCCCCCGCCACCACATGTCAAAAAAACCATACAACATACATTTTGGGGCAAAAGGTTGGATCATAATCGTAAGCCCTGCGAGCGCTGTGTACTGTTTGTTTACAGGGACTTCGGGGGGGGGCCTCATATTGCCTGCTGTGCGCAAGGCGACCACCCCTGACAAAAGAAATGCAAGACGCTGCTTAATCTGGATCACGCGCGGCCACCCCGCACCTACGATCCGTTAGCCTTTGACAAGGACGGCGGGGGTGCTGGCATATTGCCTGCTGCGCGCAGGCCCAGTTGACACCATGATGGCCTTCCCGCCGCGACTGCGCAGTGGTTTTCGACAAGGACGGTGGAAGCCAGCATGTTTCCCGATGTGTGCACATTCTGCGCGCGCCCCGAACGCGGCGCACCTGGCGAGGCTCATGCGGCACACGCGGCGCACGTGGAGCACGCGGCGCATCTGGCGCACCAAGCTTGCCTGGCACGCTGGGGCCCCAGGGGTCACAGGTGTTCCAAGTTTCCAGGGGCGCCTGCCGGGCGCACCGTGCGCCCCTGGCGCGCGCGGCGCGCCTGGCATGTCCGGCACGCGTGGCGCGATCGCCCGAGCGTCGCGCACATAGGGCCTGTGTTGGTTGCCAACAGCTGTCGGCCCATAGACGACCACTGACAATGCTGAGGCCGGGGTGCTACTCATGCGCTGGAAGGGAAGACCAACAAGATCGTATAATGCTACAAAATGGGCCTCTCGCGCGCGCTTGCCGAAATCGTTCGAACGCAATCACGCGCGTGTTGTCGCAGGAATCCTTGACAAAATACGCACCACGTGCACACGCGCGTCGTCGCGCGCGATTGCCGAAATCCTGCAAGAACCCAAGGATTTGCAAAGACGTCAAAACCGAGCGCCCCGAAAGCACTTGAAAACACATGGTTTTGCAACATCCGTTTCTTTGTTTAATATAAAAAACTGCGCCCGCGTTCTTGCAAATTCTCCTAACCACCGGCAGCGCACCATTTACACAACATTCGGCCAAACATGCCTTTCGCGCCGCATGTCGACATCATTCGAACGGCCTTGCGCGCGTGCTGGGGGGCCACGATCCGTGTCAAATAAAACCATACGGGCCGCGCGCGCATGTCGAACTCCCTCCAAAACCTTCATCACCGACGCGAGGACGCCGTCATCGTCGTCGGCGTGATCAGCATCGGCGCCGTCACTGGCCGTGCCGTCGCCGTTGTCAGCATCGTCACCAGCGTCGCTACTATCATCATCGTGTCTACCATTGCCGACGTTGCCATGATACCGCGCCCGCCCAGGTGGCCGACTCGCACTGAAGTGCCCGCTGGGAAGTGCCCAAGGGTCAGCGTCACCGCGGCCACGCTGGTCGCGCCGCACTGCGCGCGCGAGCATGCGCGGGCTAGCGCGGCCGCAGAGATGCACCAGCCAACACCAAGCATTCATCGCAATCGCCGCCGCATGCGTTTTGCAAAACAAGTTGCGGGTGGGTGGGTGGGATGATTGCGCGAGCAGTGGAGTTGACAACTGCGAGTTCCACCAGTGAGCTGCACCACACATATTGCACCACATAGCTTGCACAACATGTATTGCACATGGCACAACATAAATTGCACCACGTATGATGCACCACAGCGATTGCCTCACATCAATTGTACCACCTAGATTGCTCCACATACATTGCACCAGCTATATTGCTTGAAACACACTGCTTGGGGTCCACGTTAGCTAACATGTCCCTCAGGTTTTGGTCCATTTTTGGTTTCAGCCAGGGGGGGACCCTAATTGGACAACCCCCACTTATTTGATCCAGCTCATCCAAGATGGCCCCAAGATAGTCTCCAAGGCTCCCGAGTGCCCCCAAAGGACCCAAAGAGGCACCCAAGAGGCCCCCAAGAGGCCCCCAAGAGACCCCCAAGAGACCCCCAAGAGAACCCAAAGAGGCCACAAGGGGCTCCCCCGAGGCACCCAAAACGCTCGAAGAGGCCCGCGGGACCGAGAAGAGGCCCCCTAGACGCCCTAAGAGAACTCCAAGAAGCTCTCGAGAGATATCCGAAGCGACTCGGAGAGGTATCCAAGAGGCTTGTGGCCTTTCTGCTCGCCGTCCTCCTCCCTTCTTCTTCCTCCTCCTTCTCCTCCTCCTCCTCATCCTCATCCTCATCCTCATCCACATCCTCCGCCTCCTCCTCCTCCTACTCCTCCTCCTCCTCCTCATCCTCATCCTCATCCTCATCCTCCTCCACATCCTCCGCCTCCTCCACACCTCCTCTCTCCTCCACACTTCCCACCCTACTCCCCCTCCTTCCTCCCCTCCTCCGATTACTCCTGCATCCTCCACCTCTTGGAGCATGACGGCCTTCCCAGCTTTGTATTCCACTGCATGCTTCTCCACATCCCCGATCAGGGCAACTCGCCTTGGCACCGTTTCTGGATGGACAGGTGGGGTTACGAGAAAGCGTCTTGAATATATACACTGCGACGCACACATACTATAAGTATGTTTGCAAGGGCTCCCAATTTCGCGATTCGCGCTGCGCGAAGCGCGAAGTGCGAATAACTTCGCGCTCCCGCGCCGCCTACCAGGGGAGAAGGAGAGGACGAAGAGGAATCGGAGCCGAACCGCGAAGCGCGAAGCGCGAATAACTTCGCGCCCTCGAAGGCGCCCTTGGTTTGGGTGACGCCGAGGGGAGGGCAGCGGGGAGGAGGGAGGAAGCAACGTTTGCGCCAGCGCCTGGCGGCCTTCCTGCCTCGAGATGCGTCTCAGCAGCTGCGCCTCGCCGAGGGGCGTTGGGAGGTGGCCAGATCGTCCCGAACGGCACCCGGAGATCCACGCTGTGACCCGAGACACCGGTCGACGAGGATCACCGGGAGGACCGGCTCTCAGGGGGGGGGTCTCGAGCTCGCGTGGGCGGTACATCGCCGACAGAGATCGGCGGCAGGCTCCCGACAGCAAAAGCGCACGCTCATGGGAGGGGCTGGGTACCGGGCCCCCGTCGGCGATCCATGGACGAGTGGGGGCCGAGGCATCCCCCAAGGGCCTCCAGGTGATCGAACGATCGAGTCTTGGGTCGGTCTGTCTCGGTGGGCAGGGTCGTTGCAAGTGCTCCGATGAGCGAATAGGTGCTTGCCTGTCGATCTGCCGGCGAGTGAAGCATCGACTCCCGTCGAATATTGGCTATGAACTGGAGGCTGTCATCGGCTTCACGCAGGAGTGACCCTAGGCAAGAGTAACCTTTGGTGCGCGGCTGTCGGGGGGCGCGGGGGGGGGGGGGGCCAAACCCGAGCGCGCAAGCCGCTGCTATCGCATCGCGTTCGGCCATCTGGAGACCCCGGTGTGCCCGCACCGAAGGTCACTCCGGCGAGAGGTTACTCTTACGTGTTGCCGATGTTAGCTCTGGGAATTCCGAGTAGGGGGGTTCATCAACAAAAGATGCCCCCCTCCCAAGTATTGCTATTCCCCTGACCTCTCCCACGTCTGCTACGCCAGCCTGGCGTCAAGAGAATCGAGAGAAGGACCGGACGAGATGATGAGGGGAACGGAGGGAGTGGGTGCGCAACGGGAGGTACAGGGGGGAAGAGAAACAAGGGAGTGGAAACCAGAGCGTCATCGCCGTCGTCGTTATCGCCGTCCCCGTCGTCGTCGTCGCTGTCGTCGTCGTCCCCCTTCAGGGTCGGCGGCACTGGCCGTAAGGCCTTCGCAATAAAGGCCGCATGCACACGTTTGTGAATGCGGCGGCAGGCTTCTCTGGCCCTTCGGAGAGGAAAGCGCCAGGAGGCGAAGAGGAGGCGAGGTGCGACTCGGCCGACGAAGTACTCCCGCCTAGAAGGAGGCAGGGGGGGAGGAGGCACACACGGGGGAAAGCGAGGGAGACGCCATGCGGTCAAGAGGACGAGGCCCTATCGGGAGGGGGCGCAAAAGTAGGGGGCCACATGCGAACCCGACTCCTGCCCCCTCAGAACTCGCGGGGGCTCGGGGCAGGGTTCGCATGTGGACCCCTAGGGAGGGCCGTAATCCAGCCCTGGGCCCGCGAGCCGCGGCCCCGGACCTGGGCCGCAGCGGAGAGGAAGTGGAAGCGAGCGGGGCGGTGCCCGCTGCCGGCCGCGTTCGCGAAACCAGGCGGCCTACGCACGCTAGACCACAACGCGCTGCAAGTTCAAGCACAGCGAGGAAGTACAATCGTTTTTTTCCCCTACCCAGGCTCTGCCTAGAAGGGTTCTTACTCTCTTTGCTTAAAGGGGCCGGGCAGTGGAAATCGCCCCGAGCGGCTCCCCCAGTATCCGCCCCGCGGTTCCCCCAGTTACGTCCCCTTAGCTTAGCGTTGCTCATCTCATCTTATCTTAGCTTAGTTCAAATTAGATTAGCTGGGTTTCATCTTAGCTCAGGCTTATCTTAGCTTAGCTTACCTTCATCTTAGCTTCGCTGAGCTGCAGCATAGCAGAGCAGAGCATTAGCATGGGTGTCATTCCCTACCTAGGCTCTGCCTAGAGGGTGAGCTGAGCTTAGCTTAGCTTAGCATAGCGCAGCGCTGCATTAGCACAGCATAGCATAGCATAATATAGCCAATCATATCATAGCATAGCATAGCATATCATAGCATAGCATCGCGCAGCATGACATAGCATAGCATAAACTAGCATATCATAATATAGCATGGCAAAGCGCAGTTTAACATAGCATAGCATAGCATTGCATAGCACAGCGCAGCATGACGCACCATATCATAACATAGCATAGCATAGCGCAGCATGGCATGGCATATCATAGCATAGCACAACATAGCATAGCATAGCGCAGCCTAGCATGACATAGCATAGCACAGCACAGCATAGCATAGCATAGCAACGGATGCTGCTTTCCTAGGGGCTCCGACTTCTAGGTAGGGTCGCACTGGGGTAATTTCAGAAAGAGAGAGAGAGAGAGAGAGAGAGAGAGAGAAAACAACAAAAAAAACGAAGAAGTACAATCGCAGCGGGTAGAGCACCGTCGGCCCGATTGGAGAGGACCCGCCAGAGGGCACAAGACCCTTCCGAGGGCCATACTGCCACAGGAGGATGTAGAAGGCATGGGTCTCGAAGCACACGTCACGAGGGTACCCTGGACTTGGCAGGGTCGGCCTGCTCGTTAGCCTCGACTGCAGGGTACAACCACGCCAGAGCGCGGCCTCGGAGAAGTACAACCACAGGAGGTGCCACTGTGTGACCAGTCGTCCGCGGCGAAGGAGGCCCGGGCAGAGGGGGGCAAGGGGGAACGAGGGAGCGGCGGTGCTCGCTCCAAGCGGCCTGCGGCCAGCGCGGGGGGGGGAAGACGGAGCAACGGGAGCAGGGAAAGCAAAGTAGCCACAGAGGGATAGATTCACGACAGAAACGGCGTATGTAGATTGACAGAGACAGAAAGAAGAAACACAAAAGGACCCCCCCCGAAAAAGTAAACATGAGGGGCAGGAATGAGGAGAGGATGGGAGGAAGAGAGGGACCTGTAGAGAGAGAGAGAGAGAGATAGAGAAAAGAACAAAACATAAGAGAGACACATGTACAGATGCGTAAATGCATACAGGTTGGAAGGGAGAGACATCAAAAAAAAGGCGTGGGAGAAGAAAGAAAGACAGAGAGTAGAGAGACAGAGGACAGACAAACAAAAACACTTAGGATACATCTATCTATATATATATATATATATATATTGAAAGAACAAACAACAACACAAACCAAACACAACAACAACAAAAAAACGTGCGGCACGCGGGGCACGCGGGCACCCCCCGCGAGGAGCATGAGGTGGCACGAGGTGTAGGAGAGGGAGGGCAGGGAGGAGGAGGAGGAGGAGGAGGAAAAGGGAGGGCAGGGAGGAGAAGGAGGAGGAAGAGGGAGGGCAGGGAGGAGGAGGAGGAGGAGGAAGGTGTGGGAAGAACGCAACGATCTCTGACCCATGCCTGTGCAAAACGGAAGGAATGAGTGAAAGCAGGGAGCAGAGAGGAAGAGGGAGGGAGGAAGAGGAGGAGGAAATAGGTGGAGGAGGAGGGAGGAGAAGGGAGGAGAGAGGAGACGAGAGAGAGGGGAGGAAAAGGGAGGAGGAATGAACAAAAGGGGAAAGAAAGGAGGGAGGAGGAAGAAGGTGCAGGAGGGGAACGGAATTCCCCCCGTTTCGCGACGCGGCTGCATATACAATTCGGGAGAACGCAGAATATAATACCAGCATGCTACGCTTGCCACGCGAGCACCCCGGAAGGCCGCGAGGTCCAGGCGGACGAGGAAGAGAAAGAGGAGGGAGGAAGAGCGAAGAGGTAGATAACACAGGGCGACGGAGGAGGAGGAGGATAACGAGAAGGGGGAGTTGTTTTAACCTCAACGGCTACATGCCCCTGGTCAAGAGCACCAAGGCGAAGGCAGGAATCTGATAGGCCTCCCCCTCTTGTTTCTCTGGGGATGCCTGCCCTTGCACAGGTGTGGCTGTCCGAGGAGGATGGGGAGGGCGAAAGAAGAAGTCGAGGACGGAGGACGGAGGACGGATGAGAAGGAAGTAGGAAACAGGAAGAGGAGGACGAGGACAGGGAAGGCACGAGGAGGAGGGGGGAGGAAAAGACAGGAAGGAATAAGGGGAGCAGAGGAGAAGGAGGAAGGACGAGCACGAGGAGGAGGAAGAGGGGAGGAAGAGAGGAGGAGGCACGAGGAGGAGGAAGGGAGGAGAGAGGAAGAAGGGGATGAGAGAGGAAGAAGGGGAGGAGAGAGGAAGGAAGAAGGAAAGGACAAGGGAGGAAAGGGAGGCCTGCACGGCGTCGTTCACGAGGGATTCCGACACCTCCGGCGCCTCGCCCACCAGGTTGCCAGTGGCCGGGGAATTGACGTCAAAGGTGTCCTCTTCTCCCCATCATCCGTCTCATCCCACCGCGTCCTCCTCCTCCTCCTCCTCCTCCTCC